AGGGACTGGAACCCTAGTTTTCCTCCACTACCACCACCATCTCAGCCGGCCGACTGCACCAAATCAGTTAACCATTAAAATAATCAAGTTAAAAAACCCCAAATAAAAAATAGAACTAATCTAAATAGAGATCTCAATGTAATTACATCTTACAATCTCGGTAATAGAGGGTCATCACCACAACCAACGCATGCAAGATAAAAAATGAGAAAGAAAGGAGAGATACCATATTTCTTCGAAGAGAGAAAAAGAACCCAGAGAGAAAAAAGAAAAAACAGGATGAAGAAAGAACAAAAAATTGAAAGAGAAATGACTTAGCGCGTAAGTCGATAGCCGAGAACTCCAAGGGTCACAGAAGCGTTTCTTCATAAATCTACAACATTTGGGCCATTTCTAGGCTAAACAAAGAATGGATTCGTGACTGGGATAAAGAGACGCTTTGAAAGACGTCTTTTTCCTTATTTCCTGACTCCGACAGACGATGGTTGTCGTCGGTCAACGGCGATCGCCGTGGTGAAGACCTCACCGGATTCTGGGATTTCTTTGCTCCGGTTGAAGCTCTCTAGAGCTCTCTTTCTCTCTATATTTCAAACAAAGGGAAAAGAAGGAAAATGAAGGTTGAGGTCGTTTTTGGCCTGATTTTAAGCCTATATATGGGACATTGAATGTCGCCGTTTGGAGAGGGGTATGGAGTGCATTTTAGCATGTGGGTAAACTTTACTTTGGGTTCTTCTGGTTTTGTATATGTATATTATCGTCACTAATGAACTTTCGTTTCCTTTTACTTTGATCTCTTTATTTGTTTTTATTCTATTTTTGCCCTTTATTCCATGTTAAATATATTTGTGTTTACATTCAGACTCGGCCCATTGTATTTTAGTTCATCCACGCTTAAGCAGCACAAGTTGTTATTGTTTCATTTTAGCCACATTTTTCATGTTGTTGTATGTTTTTGTTAAGTTTCTGTTTGTGGCATAACATTTTGCCTTTTTATATTTTGGTCATGCATGTTGCTTTGGGATTTATTTCTGTTTTAGTACTTGTGTTGCATGATGTTTGCACACTAGCTATGATTTTTAATATTATTATTATTATACCTCTAAAGTTATTGTTCTTTCTATTTAGTCCTTATTTACTAGGTGTGATTAGATTCTTTTATTGGTATTTTAGTTTATCATGTTTGTATATATGCATTTTAGTCCAAATTTGTAACTTTGTTTTATTTCCACTTATAATTTCATATATATATGTATATATAAATTAAATGAACATTGTTAGTCACATTTACACTATAAATGTATTTTATTCGTTATATTTTTGAAAGTATGTATTATATGGGTTTGTTCGATATATTATGATTCCTTTACATATTTAAATATATATATATATATATATATATTTGTTTTTAGCTATTAATTTATACTTCTTTATTTGTTTTATTCAAATAATTTCAAGAACACCAAGTTGTAGAATGTGCGTGGAAAGGATTGCTTGATCAAAATAGTGTGATCCGATACGCCATTCGAACGAAATGAGAACTTGAAATAAGTCTAGTTTGTTTTACTAATTAAATCAGTTTAAAATGATTTAATGTGCTTTTTTATATATAGTAATTAATTTTATGCAAATGTTGATGTTCAATTTATATTCGATTTGCATTTTTTATCAAGGGGGAATATTCTTTTTAGGCAAGAAATAAGAAGAGATAGCCTTCTTGTTGGAGGATGAGAAAATCTCGATATTTATTTTCGAATTAATGGATTTTCCTAATAATTAATTCGAAGCAAATTAATTGAACTTTAATAAATGGATCATTTTCTAACTTTATATTAGATTTATAATTTCCACTACCACGACAACATATAAGCGACTAAGTACCAATTTTGGGCACTGTAGGGGTGTTAATCATTCACCACGCGTAATCGACTCTCGGACCCGTTAAATCAAATTTTTGGTAAACGTATACCATTTTTTTGTCTTAAAAATGATTTTTCCTTAAAATTGTTTTTAAGAACGTTTTAGGTATTCAACCTACTTAGCTCAAAGGTAGATGGTGACTCCTATTCAATTTAATTCAAATTAATTCAAAATTGCCAACTTTTTTAAATAATTGTTTTCTTTAAACTTAATTGTTTTCAAAAAATGGGTATGACAATAGGACTTGAATCTAAAGATCTTTTATATATTATTTTTTCTAGTAAATTTGGGGTGAATACAATGTATTATTTGTTTAAAGATTATCAATCATTTAATAATGAATGCTAATACTCCTGATATACGGTGTTCGAACTCGAGACCTCAAGAGATAAGAACAAATCCTTTAGCTCAAAACCTCAAAGGATAAATACATTTTTTATTTTAATAAATTTAAAAGAATTGACATTATTATGTTGAAAGTTAAAAGCTACATTACTTTTTTGTGTGAAAGAACTACACTCTTATGAATCAACGTTTGCAGCCATTTCATGAGCGAGAATATTAACAATAGAAGAAGCTAAATTACTTTTAAGAAAATGTTACAAGCATTGTTAAGAGATTAACACATAAAACAATTATAATGGAACAAAAAGAAAAAGAAGAAGAATTAATTGATATAGTAACTAAGATTAATTATATTATTTTATGTGAATTTAAATTATATAATATTTACTTTTAAAATATAATATTTATATTAAATAAAAAAAGTTTTGAAAGTTTTATTTAATATCTCTCGACTCATTGGTTGAAGTTGTCGGTGCCTCTCCCTATAGAGATAGTAACATTGATGGGTCAGCCGACCATCATACTACAGCCAATGACTGTCCTACAAGTAGGATTGGGATTGAGGAAGTCAAAATGACCCTTAGAAAGATGGGGAGGGACAAAGCTGTCGGTCCATATCAAATTCCTATCACTGTGTGGTTAATCCTAGGAGAAGAGGGAGTTAAGTGGTTGATCAACATCTTTAATATTATTTTAGAGACTGCCAAGACGCCAGAGGAGTGGAGAGAGTCTACGGTGATACCAATCTATAAGAATAAAGGAGATCCCCAACGTTGTGGTAATTACAGAGGTATTAAACTACTCAGTCATACCATGAAGCTATGGGAAAAGGTGTTAGAGGCTAGGTTGAGATAGGTTACTAGGGTTTTGGAAAACCAATTTGGTTTTATGCCAGGCAGGTCTACTACGGAGGCGATTCATCTACTTCGACGGCTTATGGAGAAATATAGGGAAAAGAATAAAGATCTTCACATGGCGTTCATTGACCTTGAGAAGGCGTATGATAGCGTACCCCGAGATACGATCTAGAAGACCTTGGAAAAGAGACGGACCCCAACTACTTATATACGAGCGATTCATGATATGTACTGTAGATCTACTACATACGTCAGGACCACAGTTGGCGACACCGAGGTTTTCCCGGTGGAAATCGGACTCCACCAGGGGTCGGCTCTTAGCCCTTACTTCTTCGCCTTGATTATGGACGACATCTATTGTGCGACACCAGACGGTGTTCCATGGTGTATGCTTTTCGCTGACGATATTGTCCTAGTTGCTGAAACAAAAAATAAGTTGAATAGTAGACTGGCTACCTGGAAGACTGCTTTGGAAGAAAAAGGTTTAAGGATCAATATTGAAAAGACAGAGTATTTATGTTCAAATTTCAGTGGAACCAAAACGATGAAGATGTAGAAGTATGCATCGATGGACACGTTCTCCCCTCAAAGGAATGTTTCAAGTACCTAGGGTCTATGATACATAAAGATGGGGTGTAGATGATGACGTTACACTCTGTATAAAGGCGGGATGACTAAAGTGGAGGGCTGCTACTGGAGTTTTGTGTGACAAGAAGGTGCCTCTAAAACTTAAGGGGAAATTTTATAAAATGGCAATAAGACCAGCGTTGATGTATGGATCAGAATGTTGGGCAATCAAGAAGAATCACGTAAGGAGGATGAAGGCCGCATAAATGAGAATGCTTCATTGGACATGTGGTAAGACTCTGTGGGACATGACACCAAACTTTGCAATTAGAATGTCCTTAGGGGTGGTGCCTGTATCCGAAAAATTGAAGGAGGGAAGACTACGGTGGTTTGGGAATGTCCTTAGGCGACAACCGTCAAATGCGGTCAGGAGGGTAGAGTCGATTACAGTCGAAGGTTCCAGAAGAAGAGGACGACCAAGGAGGAAGTGGGTAGACTACTTGAGATCTGATTTGAAGGATTTAGCACTTACCGAGGACATGACCTCTGACAGGAAAGTATGGAGACTTAAGACCAGGGTAGCCGAGTAGTGTGGGTCACAACCATGGGGTGTAGTATCTCTGTCTTCTTTTTAATGCCTCTATAGTAATTTTCATGACTTCTACTTCTATACGTTTCTGTCATTGGAATCTATGAAGGCCCAGAACTAGAGTAGCGGAGTAGTGTTGCCTTAGTTTAGGTGGTAACCCATTTGACTTTATTCCTTCTAGTAGTTTGCTATCGCTGGCTACTGTGTATTCTTTCCCTTCATGTTTCCTCTTTTCAAATTTAGCCGGGACTTATATTTCTGTCTATATGTAGAGATTATTACGCATGGATTACTTCCCATTACAGACGTGCATATGAAGACTGTTCAACTATGTATTTATTTATTTATTTATACATGCATTGTATTTTATCTTTATTTTTAATTTCCTTGACAGTCGGAGGTCTTCTACGGAAGCTGCTCTCAATCTGACATTGGAGACAATCTACTACACTACCTCCCCTTACCCCATTACATATGAGAATAGTGTTTTGTTGTTGTTGTCGTCGTCTTGAATAATATCATATTATATAATAAGACAAATTTAAAATTAACCGAAAAACTTGTATTATTATTAATATCTATAATTAAACGACCTCGTAATTAAGACGCCGTTATGAGAATCTTCTTAATTATGACACATGCCTCAAATTGTACGGTCACCAAACCACCACCGAAGATTTTTTTTTCTCTCTCTCTCTCTCGTTTATTTAGGTTTCTAGCTCAACGCAAACTCCAAAGCAAAAGAAAAGGCAAAGAAAAAAAGGAGATATAAGTTAAAAAAACCCTTTAATCTGATTTTTTTAAACCATAGATTAAACATATTTCAAGCTTCTTGACCCCATCTTGCTTAACATATTTCAACCAGGTTTCTGCTGTGTCTCATTAGTTCTTGTTTTAATTTTTTTGCATGTTGTTTTTCTATAAAATATTTGGTTTCATTAGTTTCTTTTTTTTTTGAAAAAGATAAATCTTTGTTGATGGTTATTTGTTGACTTTGCTTGTATTTTCGTTGATAGGGTCTGATCTACAATAAGGAGAAGATAAGAGGATATTTTTGGAGGATTTTAAGCTTCGGATTTTGGTTTTTTTGTTGGTTCGATTAGGTTTTTGTTAGGATTTTTCTCGGTTTTCTTAGGTTTGGGGAAAATATGAGAACTTCATGGGCGGATTCTGTAGCATCTGAAACTGCTGTTTCAGACAACAATTCCATGCGTCGTCCAACTCGATCCACTTATGTCCCGCCCCACCTTCGTAACCGTCCTGCTTCCGACACACCTAACCTCTCAGGACCGGCTCCTGAGAAGGAAAGTTTTAACGGGACTGCTGGTGGGTCCCAATGGTCCCTGTCAAACATGGGCGGCGGCAGTGGTGGGACTAAGCCCGAGGACCGGCGTCAGAGTCAGGGGTATGGCTATACTGGAGCTGGACGAGGTGGCGGAAGCAGCGGCGGTGGCGCTTGGAATAATAGAAGTGGTGGTTGGGATAGGAGAGAAAGGGAAGTAAACCCGTTTGGCGATAATGATGACGCTGATGCTAGGGACCAAGCATTTAGTGAACAGGAGAATTCGGGGATCAATTTCGATGCATACGAGGATATTCCTGTGGAAACTAGTGGTGAAAATGTGCCACCGCCTGTAAATACATTTGCTGAGATAGATTTAGGGGAACAGTTGAATCAAAACATCAGGAGATGCAAGTATGTGAAACCAACTCCGGTTCAACGACACGCCATTCCTATGGTTTTAGGAGGAAGAGATTTGATGGCTTGTGCTCAAACAGGGTCTGGGAAGACGGCTGCGTTCTGCTTTCCAATTATTAGTGGAATTATGCGTGAGCAGTACGGACAGAGACCCCGCGGAGCACGGACCGTTTACCCTCTTGCGCTCATACTATCTCCGACAAGGGAACTTTCTTGTCAAGTGAGATTCTTAATTCTTAGAACATTTGATTCTTCAGAATGGTTTAATACGTTTTGGTTCTGATAAAATTATTATTTTCAGATACACGATGAGGTGAAAAAGTTCTCTTATCAAACGGGTGTTAAGGTTGTAGTTGCCTATGGAGGGGCACCAATTAATCAACAGGTTGCTACTGCATCAAATTTGGTTTCTAACATCATTCATTATCTCTGTTATTTGAAACTTATAGTTCTTAATTACTGTGTCTCATGCTAAACTAATTGATTTTTAATATGTAATATATATTTGTTCTGTGAACAGATGCCTGATTTTGACTCAATAAGTTGTTGATTTGTTTTGTACTTGTAGTTTGCTTTCGTTTCTGTCTAACTACAGTATTATCCTCATTGACTTGGAGTGTAAAAGGGAGGGGTATGTTGTTTTTCATAAGCTATTGGATATATTCTCCTTGAAAGGCGTGGTAAGAACGAATTGTTCTAATATGTATATTAGCTTGTTTATATTAACTAACGAGGAACTCATTTTATGCTCTATATCAAATTATGTTGCCTGGCTTTTCACCCTTTTGATCTTATGGGATCTTTTTTTTCTCACTAAATCTCTAGCTATTTCTGAATACCCGATATTTGTTTTTTCCACATGCTAATGTTTCATTCTATTACTTAGTTGCGAGAGTTGGAGAGAGGAGTTGATATTCTCGTGGCAACTCCAGGACGCTTGGTTGATTTGCTTGAGAGGGCTAGAGTGTCCTTGCGGATGATAAGGTACTTGGCACTTGATGAGGCAGATCGCATGCTTGATATGGGTTTTGAACCACAAATCAGAAAGATAGTGGAGCAAATGGACATGCCTGATCGGGGTATGAGACGGACAATGTTGTTTAGTGCCACATTTCCAAGAGAGATACAGGTTGGTCATAACTGTTAAATAGGATCTCTATGGGTGCAGCCGAGTTTCTTGACATCATCTTGTCATGTTCTGCGCTTGTAATAAGCATAACGTTTAAAGTTGTAAAATGAATTTGATGTTTTTCTTGAAATCATCTAGGCAATTTCAAAATTTACTGATGCAAAAAGAAAAAAAGAACGATATTTCTGTATTCTGCTTTAGAATAATTCTGGATTGTAATTAACTTGATTTGAGTTTTCATTAAAAAAATTCCTTTTTGAATGGGTGATTGTGCAGAGGCTTGCGTCTGATTTTCTTTCAAATTACATATTCTTGGCTGTTGGGAGGGTTGGTTCTAGCACGGATTTGATTGTTCAAAGGGTTGAATTTGTTCATGAGTCTGACAAAAGAAGCCATCTCATGGATCTTCTGCATGCACAGAGGGAAAATGGAGCTCATGGCAAGGTAATGTGAGACCATCATGAATGGACTATAGCTTATTGAAGTTCCTTTATCCGTTAGATTAGAGTTAATTACTGGAATATATTTGTTTTTACAAATATGTACCACTTAGGGTGCTGATTCTTCTATCTAGTCTCATTGGACCTATAGGTCCGAGATAATTTGAAGTTGTTGATTGGTGTGTCTCTTTTACTTTGCAGCAAGCTTTGACATTAGTTTTTGTGGAGACTAAAAAAGGAGCCGACTCATTGGAGCATTGGTTGTGCATTAATGGATTCCCGGCGACCACCATCCATGGTGATAGGACTCAGCAGGTAATTGTCAAAAAATTCATCTGCTAAAGTGAAGTGAAATTATATCCATTTGACTTAAAATTGAAGTATCTAAGGGGGCTGCAACTCGTGTCTGATTAAGCCCCGGTGTAAGAAGTAATCCCACTAAGTAGGATAGGTTCTTTATTGCAATATGCCAATATGGCTATATGCATTTAACCTATTCTAGAAAGAACGTGTCGTTAAATAATTGCCATGGGCTTGTTGTTTATGCAGGAAAGGGAACTAGCATTGAGATCTTTCAAGAGCGGAAAGACCCCAATTTTAGTAGCAACTGACGTGGCTGCTCGTGGTCTTGATATACCCCATGTAGCTCACGTGGTCAACTTTGATCTTCCCAATGACATTGACGATTATGTCCATCGTATAGGAAGGACAGGTCGTGCTGGTAAAACAGGATTGGCAACAGCTTTCTTTAATGAAGGCAATTCGTCACTGGCAAGGCCACTAGCTGAGCTAATGCAAGAAGCAAGTCAAGAGGTACCTGCGTGGCTCACTCGATATGCATCTCGGGCTCCTTATGGTGGTAACAAATACCGACGATATGGAGGGCGTGATTTCAGAAGGGAGGGTTCAGTGGGTAGGAATCTGGATCACTACGGTGTAGTTGGAGGGAATAATGGTGCTGCATACGCAGTTCCTGGGAATTATGGAGGAGGATATGCTCCAGGGGTGTCAAGTGCTTGGGATTAGGTCCCTCTTTATACTGGATTATATATTATTTTTTTAGTATTTCGTTCGAGTTCGAGTATATATATATATATATATATATATATATATATTCCGTAAAAAATTTCAAGGATTATTCTCACTGTTTACATGATTTACGTTTGCAACTGGGTTCATTCACTAGGAAACTAACCAATTAGCCGCCTGTTACGTGATTACTGATATAGGAAATTAATCACTTAGGCTCCGAGCATTGATGTGCATCACTTCATTTATAAAATATGGTAAAAATATGGAATCTGGATTACATTAGCATCTGGTCTCTTGTGAATTGTGAACCAGCTCAAAAATCTCATGTTCATGTAATAAACTTAGAATTTGGATCAACATTCCTAGAAGAATTTATGTAAAGGAATCTCTGAAACTTAAAATCAATACTCAAAGAACGGCAGGAGGGGATATTATTAGTTGGAGACAAAAATGGAACATGGAACTGAAGTTGAATGGGTGAATGGTGAACAAGAAATTCTAAAGTACAGAGGATACCGAGTGGACATTTCTACTGGAAAACAAAGAAAACGGGTCATAATGATTTTACTATGAAACAAAAGGTGTAATGTAACATATGATCACAGCGAGGAGATCCCTGATAGAGATACCTTAAATCACAGGGAGCATGATCTACCATCTCTTACAATATATAACTTTATCTGTGTATCCACCAGCTTCTCTCACCGAGACCTAAATAACGTAACCAAACAAATCCTTTAGAAGATCTTGAAAGGCATGGATAGAGACTCTGCACATGTGCATCTATGCTTCAACAGAGACTAATGCTTTTATCTTTCAGCAGCTCAGTAGTATATTGTTCTTAAAATGGAGGTACCTTACAGTCAGCGTCTAGGTCTGGGCACACACCAAAACTCAGCTAACAAAGCTATATGATCAGAGGACCACTCTGGAGAAGGAAGGGCTGTGTCTTTCCTTAAGCTATCCTCATCCAAGAGTTCCAATAACGACTCCACTGTTAAAGAGTCCGCTGAAGCACAAAAGGCAAATACTCATAAGCACTGCAACCGCTAATAGCGGCATCAAACATCTAGAGAAAAGACGTTCATAAACATTAAAAAAATGGGTTCCATGGAATTGACCTACCAGTGTAAAATATGTAATCTAGGGAGCCAATAAAATCTCTTGTTCAATTTGTAAATAAAGGTTCATTAGTTGTTGGGTACATCCTTCTTCTCTGTTGTTCCAAACCAAGACCAACTCCTTTTAGAAAGGCTGAGTAAGCACTAACCTGTTTAAAAACCTTAATTTGTCACAACATATCCCCTGAATTTCATAAAGAAATCTAGTCCCATTTCAACTAAAGACTGTTTCCACTGTGTTCTTAAAAACCCCATTAAAACATTGTTAGAAAAACCCAAGGGACCGCTTAAAGCAGTTAATTAATGGAAGAAAGTTTACCAGTGGCAACTGATGAGTCAACTTGCTGCGAGGACGCAAAATTGCAAGAGGATCAGCCACTAAATCTGGATGCACTGGATTTACCTTTCCCATAGCAAGAAGTGAATGGGGAGCACTGCATAAAATTCAACTGCATGCTAATTAAGCAAAAGTCTAATGCGGAAAAAGATAGCTCTGCAGAAATAAAGTAACTGATCTGAGGCACTAAATGATCTACTATAATGTGAAGGATAATAGACTTGCCTTCCAGGAACTGAATTAAAATCCCCACACACCAACATTGGAATGTCTGCACTCAGCTATTTTCTCTAACCCCTTTAAGAGAGTATGCACCTAATTTAACATTACACAAAATAAGTAATTATTTTGAATTTTACAAAGAAGCGAAGTATAAGTAATTATACAGATTAAAGAAAAATTAGAACCTGCCAGATTTTGACATCCTTTAGCTCTTGTTGAACATTTACATGTGTGTTTGCCTGTATTCCAAAAGCCAGGAATAGTGGAAATTGTTACATGATGCACTTGCATATTATGAAACGTGGCAAAGAAAATAAATAAACAAGTAAATATGGTAATCTAAATGAGTTTACTTTCATGAATGTACAGAATAGTAGCCCAACTTCCAGAAAGATAAGTACATTAATCATTTCCATGATATGGCTAAGAGAAATAGAAAGCTAAAAGGAGCAAAGAAAGGGGGACTAAAAGAACCAAAATACAAACCAGTAAACCACGCAAGAAAGGGAGAGAGAACTTATCAATCTAATCCCACTTGTACTTTGTACTTTGTCAGTCATAATGAAATAGAACAAGTTTCATATGATTCTGATACTTTTAATTGCTAGAACAAAATTATTATTCAAAAGCAAACTTTCAGCTGACTGATTATATCTTTTAAGATCAAAAATCCTATTTTGAAGATACTCATGGGCCAATTTGAGTGCACTAAAACAGTTTCCAGCATCATAGCCTGCCTACTGCAGCCCACAGAATTGTTCACATTTCTATATGGTCCACGTGATTTGAACTAATCTCCCGATCAGATCAATTAACAGGACTAGATAGCAACAACCTGGGCAATTTCAGTTTTATGAGACCAGACAGAGACTACTTTTGACTCGGTAAATGTTACTCCTCTTACAACAATTGCAACAAGTTGTGCTAAACTTGCTAACTAAATTCTTTTTAGATTATATAGGATGAAACTCAGGTAAGCTAGGCTACTAGTTGGATTCAAAACTATAAGGCTAAATAGTCCAAACATCTTTTTAATCTCAGGGCTGAACAGCTGCAAGCCTGCAATGTGATTAACTCATTCTCAACTTGCCAATGCCTGATAAAAACTGATCAAAGGACAACAATCACCACTAGCAATATGGTATCATGTTCTGATCATAAATAAGGCAAGAAAGTAAAATCTTGCAAATTACAGACAATAACAGACAAGGCCAGGAAAATATAGTAAAGAATATATTAACAATTCTTACCACACAAAGAAGCTGCCGCTTCCCAGGATTGTCAGCTCCCTGATTAGTAAACTTTGCTTCTAAAACCACAATTAGTGCAACATTATCCTGCAGACAAAGAAGAATTTACCAGATATCATTAGTGGAACTCATACCATAAGATAACATATATATCCAAGCAGTGGCAGATCCAAAAAATTTAAAAATGGGTTCCAAAATTTTAATATTCTTATTTTTTCTTTTTTTCCTCAACACATCAAAATAAATTTAATAACTTATCCAAAATAATGGGGATGCACTTGGCCCCTATGGGGCTTAGTGCATCCGCCCCTGTATCCGAGTTAGCTAAAAACATTTATTACCTTAACCAAACGATTTAAAGCAGCTTTCTTCTGAGTAGTTTGAACTGCAACCTCAGTCAAGGATTGAGCAGCCTTATTAAATTCAACCTGCAAAAGACAACATTCGCTTTAGCATGAACATGTATAAACCCACATACCACATCAGAAGTACTTACGAACCTCATATTTTTTTACATGGGAAAATCTATCTCTACGGAAAAATGTAGCACAGCCATCAATTTTATGGTTATTTCTGCTGTAAACCTGCATCATAAATGATATAAGTTACAAATAGAAGAGTAATATTACTAAATTAGTGAGATGAGAGTCAGGAAGCTCTTAAGCAACCTCATTTGTCTTCCTCTTACATAAAGCTTGATACCCATGTTTATCCAGCTCAGGAGCAAAAAAATCATCAAATTGGTCGCTTTGCACCTGAAAAGATGACAAAAGTTTACACAAAGGCACACTCAACATTCATCTGGATGCCCAGAGGCTCTAGATGACTTCTGGCTAATTATGAGTGCATCTATCAATAAAGAACTCCCAGCATCTAGTTTCGCCTCATTTAACTACATTCTCTTGTTTTTATCTAAAAACTGCATCCTTTTCAACAAAAGTAGATACATAGACACTACGCATCTAAAAGGATAATTTAACATAAAAATTACAGAGCATATCATCTAAATTAAGACCAATGCAACTGCACCATATTAGATATTTCTACACAAAATTCAAAGCTTTGTTTCAGTTTAAATTGGAAGTTCTGAAAGAACAAATATCGTCAAACAGTACAGAAGTATCACCTCTTGAAGACAAACAATGTCTGCACGATAACCAACAATTTCCCTCAACAGGTTCTGTCTGCGATATGGCCAAGAAAGGGCCCATGAAGGGCAATACCTGTACAGCTCACGGCTGGCATATGAGTCAGACAAAATGTTGTACGAAAGAATAGTAAAAGTTCCAGAGGATGAAATGCGGCCGTCTGAATCCAGTTGTGCCATCATATCAGCTCCGCCTACTGGGATCAAATGCCGAGGACTAGGGGAAGGCGCTGGAATAACATGAGATGTCAAAATAGTATTGGGATGTCCCACAGGTAGTTTCATTGCTGCATCAATGACCACACACTCGAACTTGAGAACATGACCAATATCGTCTGTAGTTGGTGTATATGTTTTAGATCGTCCAACTTCAAACCAGGTTTCACCACCACTTCTTTGTGTAACTGCAGCAGGATACATAGGTGTTGAACCATTTGTCAAGTTAGTGCTTGATGCAGAACCAGTTAAACTGGCACTAATTACTCCGGACCCTGTGCTATTGAAACGACCAAATATCTCTTCTTCATTTCCATTTTCGTTTACAGCACTTGCAGCACGGTCATGAAGAACACGATGATGTTTCCATGCATCTGAGAAGCACTTTGGAGAGCAATGGTAACTTTTAGCAACGGGTATTTTTGACTTAACACAACCTAGACATTGCAAAGTGGCTTGCTCAGAGGGATGTACACTACAGACAGTAACTTTCATATCACTTTGTATGCGATACCTGAAAAACTGACCCAAGAAAGAAGCAACATGTATTATACTGGTATACACCAAAAATTTTGAAATAATCATCACGCTCTAATCCCACAAAAGAAACAATCTAATGAAAAGATCAACTTAAGGTACACACATCAGTTGAATAATCTCTCATCAAATACAAGAATTTTACTCAACAACATACCCAGAGAATGTATAAGTCCTTAACAGAGACAGTAATCCATAGTGGCTAAAGCTATTTTTCTTA